CCCATATTTCCTGGATGTTTTGTGTTAAGGATTTGTTGGACTTAACATTTTCTTTGGTCGATGAATCCATTTCTCCTAGTGTATCTTCAACACCTGAGATTCTCTCTTCCATCTCTCATATTCTCTTGGTAATGCTTGTATTGGTAGTACCTGACCACTTGCCCAGCTTTTCTATTTCCAGCCTTTCTTCAGATTGTGTTTTTTTTCATTTTCTCTATTTCAGTTTTCAACCCTTGCACTGTTTGAATTGTTTCTTGCAATTTTTGGTTTATCTTTTGTACATTTGTTGCATTTTATGATTTTTTTGGTTTGCTTTTCTCCCATTTCTTGCATTTTTTGGTTTGTTTTTTCATCCATACCTTTGAGGGATTTTTCTATATCCTCTTTTAGTGCCTCTATCATTTTCATGAAGTTGTTTTAAGGTCATTCTCTTCTGCTTCATTTGCATTGGTATGTTGCTATTGTGGAGTCTCTAGAATCTGGCAGTGTCATATTTGTTTTTCTGTTGCTGAGTGTGTTTTTGTATTGTCTCTTTCCCATCTCTTCTTCTAGTGGGTGCAGAAAGAGGCCCTTACTAGTCTGGTAGTTAGGGGACCAGAGTTCCCTTTCGGTGGGTGCTAGCAAGTCCAATAATCTGGTAGTTCTTATATTCCTCATCCTAGTTCTGGTCCCGTGGGTGGGGAAAAACACAAGGAATCTTGGGTGCTTAGCCTCCCACCTGGTTCCCTGGTCCCTTTGGTGGAAGAGAATACTTGTGTTCTGGGGTGCTCCTGCCGGGATGGTAAGCTCTGTGGCCTTCCCCAGTCACGGGAAGGCATGCCGGGATATCGGGCTATGGGGCTTTTGTTTACATGGTTCCACTGGGTTCCAATTTTGTGTTTTTATGTGTTTGTGTCTTGTGAATCTTGGTTCTGGTGTTTTTTCCTTTTGTTTCTATTTGTTTGTTTTATTTATTCTGGTTTATTTTTTTATTTGACTGTTTCTTTTCTAAAAAGAGAAAGAATGAAGTCATAGAATAGGAAGAATGAAGAGGTGAAACAGTAACTGGGAGTATATAGTGGAAGATGGATCCTGAACAGAATATATTCTATGAAAATTATTTTCAATTAAAAATTAAAGCTAGGAAGAAAACATTATCTTTGTTTTATCCATATTTTTTATTTGGCTGTAACAACTTAAAAACAGTTTCTTCCTGATTTATTCTATGACACACTAGTCATTGCAGAGTTTATTATGTAGTCTCAATTGTTTGCATATGGTTTCTTATTTTTTTTCTTAGAATTTATTTCTAGTCTGATAAAGGAAAACGATTTTAGTCCTTTTGTATTAGTGAAGTACTTTTATGGTCAAATGTCATCTCTTTTTAAACAGTTCTCATAGCTACAGAGAAATAAGTACACTTTGCATCTGGTGACTGTGATGCCCATATGTGGTGAATCAACTTGATGTATGGTGAAATTTTATTTTCAAGCTTCATTGTTTATTTTTAGTTTTATGACATATCTGTTGATGAAAGTAAAATATTGTACTCAACCACTCATGTTTGGAACCTGAATTACAGAAAAAAACTTTCATACACACAGACATGTACTTAGACACAGATGGGAAGAAATACAGGGAAGACAGGGAGAGAGAGAGGTAAGAGAAGGATTATCATTTGTGTAATGTTTTATTATTTTTGAAGAACTCTTCCTAAAACAGTTTAAAATGATGAGACGATTAGAATAGTTTCATTACATGTCATCAATATACTAAAATTATACTACTAGCAACAATCAAATAGTATTATTTTGAAAGATGTTAATTAAGATTAATTGATTTATAGACTTTATACTTTGAGGGTATTGACACATTATGTGTAATTGATAAACAGGCAAAGAAGAAGAATCATATCAAAACAAAGCTAAATTCTCTTGATTCAGCCTCTGAAGTGTTGAGCACATACATTTTTATTTGAATTACTTTTTTGTGGGGGGTTCTAGGCAGGGGTTCTCTGTGGCTTTGGAGGCTGTCCTGGAACTAGCTTTTGTAGACCAAGCTGGTCTCAAACTCACAGAGATCCGCCGCCTCTGCCTCCCGAATGCTGGGATTAAAGGCATGTGCCACTACTACCCGGGCTTGAATTACTTTTCATTAGAGTTTTCAGTGTTCTCTTATATTCAGGAATATGGAAAATTCCCTTATAAAAGAGAAATATCTAAACACTGAAACCCACAAAATGTCAACAGGTTTAGGTGAAAATATTCATATTGTGTTGCAGCCTAAGTCTCCAGAGCTCACTCTCAAGGCTGACTGTAGTCTTCTCTCAGATAGCAATATACTAATACACACCTATGGACAGAAGTTCCCCTGAGGAACTGGGTGTTGCCCTGCAGAGGCAGAAGTGTGGACTAGCTGGCATGTCAGCCACAATATCCTAGAAGTCCTAAGATGAGCCATGTGTGACTACCAATGTGGAAATCAGGGATCTTGCCCTGACCACTCCCAGTTGCTAAGCCTTTTGGAACAACTAAGGGTGAGACTAAAACCAAACAAGCAAGATGTTGCAAGATTTCTCAAGGTCATGTGGGCTGACATACCTCACTCTTCTTCAGAGTTCAGGTTCCATTGGGGTGAGACAAGTCTTTAGGAGTATCTATTTCTAAGCTTACACGCCAAGGAAGGTGCCAGTTAGAGGATTAGACATCACTAAATAGTTACAGGATGAATGTGTTCAACAACTGAATATAAGAAAGCACAACCTCCAAAAAAAAAAAAAAGAAAAGAAGAAAAGAACAAGCACTAAGAAAAGTTGTTAAGGAATTCATCAAGACTACATTAAACATCACAGATTAAAAGAAAAATAATGTGGACCTAAGCTTCATTATCATAGCAGCTAAAGTTTGTAACATATAATTTAGAGAAAATCATGACCAAAGAACAGAAAACGGCACCATTCACCTAAGAACAAGTTTGAGAGCAGGTAGGAAATGCTACAGATAAAGTAGCTCAAAAGGCTGTGTTCTGGAGGAGTTTCTAATTTTATTAAGTGTTATACAGTCCTGAGTAAGTCTTTGGTGATGACTGTGTGGTAGTTATCATTGGGACTGTTAGGTCTTCTATGGGTCTAGTACTACAACATAGTCAATGAAATATCAAGGAGCTTCAGGGAACTTTGGGTATGTGTAAATATTAGATGTATTTTTGTAAAGACTTGGAAACAGATAATAGGTGAAAATGAATGACAGTATACTGGGAGGTATACATCTCGCTACATGAAGACTTTCTATACATTTGTAAATACCCATGTTTTTCTATCACATTTTCTTGGTATTCACCATGATCCTGTGTCCCAAACTCATGTTATTCCTAAGGTTTGGAAAGTACAGAGTTCACCAGCATTTAGGTGAAGAGATTTTGCTGATTTAGTTTGTGTATTTCTTTGTTCTTCTCACTAATATATTTTAAATTTAAGGTAATCTTAAATCATGACTCTTTAAAAATTTGTCCTTCTATGATGAATCACAACCATTTCTACTAAATCCTGAAAAGAAAAAAGTTCAAAATAATATGTTTGTATATGGCCTATGGACATATGAACTATAAATGAAAATTAGAAGCATCCAGACAACAGAGATCTAATGACCACAGAAACACATTTTTGTGAACTACTAATGAGTGATTCTTTTTTAAAATAACCTGACTTCCTTGAGTCAGGGGTATGGACCATTACCTCTTTGTCTCACATGCAGTGTAGACTGACTTTATTCCTGTTTTTAATATAAATGAACAACATCAGTCCCTTGAACTCTCATGAACCATTTTCCTCTTACTAATGTGCCATCTGAACTTACAGTAATAGCACACAGTTTTCATGAAAGAAATGTGCTGGCTTCTATTGAGTATCCAGTCATATTGAAACAATAAAGATCCAAGGAATTATATTCATAAATGAGAATTACATGTAAGTTCATGAAAAAATATGATATGAAAATATTTATTTAGACAAATATAAAGAAATTAGTAAAATAAGGATGCCCACTCTCTCTGAACACAATCACTGCTATACTCCTTTTTCATATAAATTTTCAAAATGTTGGCCTTCCTTTGGATATTTTCATAAATATTATTTATTGAACCAATTTATCTTCTTTCAGTGGCTATTTTTAATAATGATATCTTTATTTCAAATTGCGTATGTGTTTCTGTGTCTGTGTACATCTGTGTGTGTATGTGTGTGTGTTTGTGTACATTAGTGCCTGTACCTTTGGAGGTTGGAAGAGGGTGTTAAATGCCATGAAGATGGAATTAAAGTTGACTGTGAGCTGCCCAACTTATGTGCGTGCTAGGAACCAAACTCAGATCCTTTGTAAGAGCAGTATGCATTCTTCACCGAGGAGCCATCTCTAAGTTGCTGTGTTTAAAAAGAATTATATGCATTCTGAATTTAGTAGTTTGCACATATATCTTATATGAATACTCCATATGGCCATTTGATGCTTCATTTATTTTTGTAACAATCTTATATTCTCCTTAATATTGCGCTGTCTTAGGTCAAATGGGAAATGGCACATACCGGCTGTTCTGGATTTATCATGCAGGGTTTTCCTGATGTAATGTTTGGACTGGACTTACAAAGGCACAATTGGGAAAGTGCAGACATAGAAGCTGATATGGAAGAAACTTCAAAATTTTCCTAGCTTGATATGGGCTACATGCTGCACAGATGACATTAAGAAGGGACAGAAAAGAAAGAAGATGGAGAAATGAGTGGTTCCTAAGTTAGATATGATGCAGGCATGCCAGGCCTAAGGTTTCAGGAATCCACTTCCTCCCTTCATGCCTAAGCCATGCCCTACGATAGATGGAGCATGCCTGAGCCTCACAGGGGAAGGCTAGTGAGGAACATCTGGTCATCACCAGTCACATGACCATGTGGGTGTCAGGAGGCAGAGCCTCCCATGTGCAGTCACTGACTGACAGGCTGAGACAGAGACCTGCATCAGAATAAAAGGGCTGAGGGACAGGGCCCTTCCATCCTCTGTCCTCCCGAGATACCCACAGATCCTGTGCTGCCTATCATCTTGGTAAATGTCCATGGAAGGCAAGAGCAGAGACTTTTCCAGAGGGGTTGCCACACTAGGAGAGGAGCCTGGGAAGGGTCTCTCAGCCTAGAGGCCATATTGTTAGGTCATTAAATGTGGTGAAGAGTGAGGGTGAGACAATGGCGATATTGACAGACACAAGCCACAGCCTTGGTTCTGAGAGACACTGCAATGCTTGGAGCATTCTGTCTCTGGGGAGAACAAAGCACCTTTGGTGTGTGGAAACCCTCCGGATGGAACACTGAGCACAGACAACTGTGCATCCTGACAGGTTCGGGGTGGAGGTGGTCTGTGAAGAGACTGCTTCCCCTCACTTCTGAAGAAGAGCTGGAGTCAGGAAAAGGCAGTAGAGTCTCACTTTAGTGTGGGAAAGAAAGACAGTCCTGGTTCTGGACTGTCCACACACTTCTCTGGTGAACAGGGCCCTCCAGGATTATACCTTGCCAGCCTTATAGAAGGTGGTGGTTTAGATTTCTCTGAACTCTGACCTCACAACAGGACCTGGTTTTCTCAATTCAACCTTGAGCGGGTTTACATTCTTTTCAGGGATTCAGTTTACTTCCTTACCAATAATCTAGAAGTTCCTTGAAATACTGACCTAAAACTGAAATCACCTTTAAGCAATGATTACTATTTCCTTTTGCAACTAGTTCTCTCTGAAATAATCCATGTACTGGCACATCTATGAGGATTAATACTAGCAAACATTTTTACAATGTCAGTAGTTTTTCATCCAGTACAGTTGGATAGTAGGTGATATTATCTCACAGGCATGAGTTTCTGAGATTTCAGTCTTGATGAACATGATATGAGAGCATGAGTATATTAGAATTGAAATGAGTATAGATGGTGTTTCTATAATCTTCAGTGACACTTCTGGTCATCAGGATGGCCCAGGTAGCCACAATTTGACACATGTATTCTCTTGCAGCTTCTGCACACCCTCAGGCCAGGATGTCCTGCCAGCAGAGCCAGCAGCAATGCCAGCCCCCTCCCAAGTGTGCCCCCAAGTGCCCTCCCAAGTGCCAGACACCTAAATGCCCCCCAAAATGCCCTCCTAAGTGCCCCCCTGTGTCATCCTGCTGCAGCCTGGGGTCTGGTGGCTGTGGCTCTAGCTCTGGTGGCTGCTGTGGCTCCAGCTCCGGGGGCTGCTGCAGCTCTGGGGGTGGCGGCTGCTGCCTGAGCCACCACAGGCCCCGCAGATCTCTTCGTCGCCATCGTCACAGCTCTGGATGCTGTAGCAGCAGTGGCAGCAGTGGCTGCTGTGGCAGCAGTGGTGGCAGCAGTGGCTGCTGTGGAAGCAGCGGGGGTAGCAGTGGCTGCTGTGGCAGCAGTAGCAGCAGCTGTGGCAGTAGCCAGCAATCTGGCGGCTGCTGCTGACCTGGTTGAGGAAGACTTCAGACAAATGGTGCAGGAAGAAGTCCAGTTCAGAAGACCTGAAATTGCCTGCCAGTCCTGTCTTCTACGGCTGTCCTCCATCTTTGGCATGGAGATGATGAAATCTTCCTGTCCAAGATTCTTAATTAATACCCAGTTTTCAAGGTCCCTGTTCTATGTTGCCTAACTAACAATAAAAACTTCTCTCACACTTCCACCAGTTCTTGCTCATTTAAATTACCATCATCCCACAGATCAGCATTTGCAACTGGCCCTGGTGATACTGTTTGGGGTAGAAGTTTGGTTCAGGGCTTCAAGGTCATGTAACAGTCACTGCCCGGGGCTTGGATTGTGAACCCTTGGTCACCCTTTCCTGCACATAGAGGGGGTGGTCTAGTCTGAACATTGATAGTGACAGTTGTGGCTATGGCCACTTTCTAGGGTCAAAGGTTTTTGTTTAAATGATTTTTAACCATTACTGTATAATTATAAGAACTTTGATGGTATTTCTGACAGCCAATATGGAGTGATAACATTAGAACAAAGAATAAATTAAGTAACCATTTCAAGGAAAGCAGATAGCTATGATTAGATATTTATTGAAAGAAATGTGAGTCAGTCAGAACAATGATCCAGAACAAAGCGATCTCTCATTTGTCTTTTATTTAATTATGTGATAATCTTTCTCACACAAATAATTTTAATGTAAAATGGATAAACTTACAAGCCTATACTAGATACCAGGGGTTAACAAATTAGAAGTCCAATGGGAGAAATGGGCTGCAACTATTGGAGCTGTTGGCAAGTGAGTTGTCTATCATTCATGCCTAAATTCAGGCCATGTGAATGGATGTAGTGCTTTGGAACACTTGTTTTCATTTGAATGGCTGTGGGATATGTGTGGTTTTGCTTTCTTTTGAGATTTTTTATCTTGATTTGTCCTGTTCTTTCTCAGACATTAGCTTTTACTTTCATCTGATTATGATAAGAAATGATACTTTATATAATACCAACCCTTCAAAAGCTATTAAAACTTGCCTTTTGTTCTTCCATGAACAAAAGGCAGTGCTGAGGTAAATTTACATCAGTAAACACTATATGACAAAGGACATTCCAATGGGAGGAATAGGGGCATACTGTGGAAATACTGGACCAAATTGAGACCAAAAGTCAGCTGGGAAAACTCCAAATCTTATAACTCGAAGTCTGATGTCAAAGCTTTGCTGACAGTAGCTGCCCACTCCCTGTTTGTAGTTCTCCCTGGAAGACATCACACAGCTCTCACAGGTCCAATATCCTTTGGTCTCTAACACAATCCAGGCTTCACCTTCATATCTTCATGCAATGGACTCTCAGGGCCTCCATTCAAGGGCCTCCCCCACCACATGCCTGGTCTCAGAGGCTATCCTTAATCCTAGAGGAATATTTTACAACCCCTTTATTGCTTTATCTTTCATGACTCTAAAGCGAGAGCCACATGGCCAGTGATGCCCTTCCCTGAATCCCATTTGTATCAGTTTTCTTTTGTAGGTGTTTTCAGGCACAGAGATTTCCTTAGGATTTCATTTTTACAAATGGAAGCTTGGCTTGGTGGAGTCTAGCCCTAAGGGGTCAATTTCCTTTATCCCAGTAAGCATTATGGTTCTTAACTCTGTGAGTACAAGTGTCAACTCCAACACTAATTTCCTGCTGCTCTTTTTCTTTTGAAATATCATGTATTTATTTTTGTCCCACTTTCTCTTTTTTATTTTAAACCTGCATAAAAGTATTCACTAATAGCCACACAACAGTCACTATAAGGCTTCCCTGAAATCTTCTATTACAAAATTAGTCCCCCAAATTTCAATTTAGCCTCAGGCAGATTTTGAGGAAAAGGGAAGAAAATAGCCACGTTCTTTCCCACACTATCACAATAATGGCCTGTATCCAGCCCAGTTGCTAGTATTTTTCTTTTCTAACACCTCTTGATATGGGCTTTCATAATCCACATTGTTCTTAGCATTGTTGTCTTCCAAAATTCTACTAGGATGGTCTGTTAAGCCTTGATTCGAGCACTCAACAGATTTCCTACTCCAAATTCCCAAAGTCTTCCACAGTCTTCCAACAATCAGCATGGTCAGGTCTGTTACAGCAATATCCCACTCCTGCCTTAGTTACTTTTATACTGCTGTGAAGAGACGTCAAAATGGAAACTCATAGAAGAAAGAGTTTACTGGGGCTTACAGTTTCAGAAGGGGAGTCCATCATGGCATGGATTATGGCAGCAGGTAGGTAGACAAGGTACTAGAACAGTAGCTGAGAGCTTACATCTGATCTATAAGCAGGAAGCAGAGAGATCCATGTGGGAATGGCAGAAACTTTTAAAACCTCAAAGCTCACCCTCAATGACACTCCACCTTCATCAAAGCCAAATGTCCTAACATTTCCCAAACAGTTCCATCAGCTGCAGACCCAGTATTCATTCTCATTCAAATCAACAAGGCACGTGTCACCATGATTGACAATGTGAGTCAATCTCAGGAGCCCACATGATAGAAAGAAAGAACCAGTTCTTATACTTATATTCTGACTTCCACATGTTTGTCATGGCATCCAGACATTCCTTTCCCTCCAAAATAAATATAATAATGTAACTTTAAAAATGTACACAGCATGAACTATTGTAAATTATTTTCTAAATAATTTAAAGAAAATTAAGAGGCAAGATTTTGGAAACATTACACTTCTCTATTTTAAAATCAATTGCAAATCTAAAATAGTAAAGTCACTGAGGTACTAAGATATAGACATGCGTGCTAACTGGAAGAAGATAACAAGAAAATAGTACATCCTAACTGGAAGGAGTGGAATGAAACCCAGAGAGAAATCCTCATATACATGGCTAAATAAATGACTCTTAACCCAGCCTGCTAGGTCATTCACTGATGGAAACAATATTCGCAGAAGAATTGTGGAAAGTTCCATACCTATCTGTTCAACAATGAGGCTGGAACATCAAATATGCACAGAGTATGACCTAAGCCTAAGAACAAGATGTAAAGTGAAACCTTGGAATACCGAATTTGGCAGTGAATTCTCAGACTGAACACCAACATCATAGAAACAAATTTAAAACAGTATACCCTTTCTATATGAAAAAAAATCTTACTCAATATATCAGCAAACAGAATTAAAGGAAAGCTTTTGAGATGGGACTTAAATATGTGTGAATCAGACTTCTGACAACATGGTACTGTCCACAGTATGAAACAAACTTCTTCAACTCACCAAGAAAAAAAAGAGTAACTTGATTTAAAATACAGAAAGGGCTTGAATACATATTTTTCTAAAGAATATATTAAAAATGATGAGTAATCATATGAAATGCTTATTGTTGCTATTAGGTAAATGAAAATACACCCAAATACACACTTCAGGCTTGAGACTGGTTATTGTAAACAGCAGAGGTTGACAAGTTATTGATGAATATACAGAAAAATTAGAATCTTTATTCAAAGTATGGAACACAAAATGCAATAATCATTATGGAAAATAATATGACATCACCTGAAATGCAACAGCAGCCACATCAGAAGCAGAAAGTCCAATGAAAGCAGTACCATTAGGAGGTATTTGTTTACTGGTTTACAGTAAACAAATTGTTTACAGTAGCCTAAAGACTGGTGTGATTGAAATGCTCATTGATTAACAGTTTTATTAAAAGAGCTGGTATATACATACAATGTTATATTAAGTACTCTTAAATATATATATATACATATATATATGTATGTGTGTGTGTGTGTGTGTGTGTGTGTGTGTGTGTTAAAACATAGACCAAATAAGAACATGTTGTGCTAATTACCAGCAACCAAAAGAATGGTGCTGCGTTTTTCTAATCCCTGGAGATCTGGAGGTCAGTCAGACTTCTCTACAGCACCGGGTATACTCTCTATACCAGGCAGAAAATGTTCATTTATAGAAGCTGGATAGAGAAAGTAATTGAAAACTATTGATGAATGAGTATGCAATTTCAGTTTTGTAGAAAGATAAATATTATGCAGATTGAATATAAAACAATATGATTGTATACAACACATGGAGGTAAACTATTAAAATTGACTTGGGTGTTAAGTTTTGTGTGGTGTGTTTAACAGAATTTTTAGAAATGTAATGCTTTTTACAATTTGTTGAAAATGTTCAAAACTTATCTTGGTTTAACTACATGTGACATAGAAGAAACCATATCACTAACAGCAACCAAAAATAAAATTAAATTTTTCTTACTTCTGTCTGTAATGAGACTTCCTTTGTCCCATCAGCCAGATCCCAAATAATGGCCTGAAGACTTTTTATTAACTATGAAATCTCAGCCAAGAGCTTAGGCTTGTTCCTAACTAGTTCTTATAACTTAAACTAATGCATTTCTACCAATCTATGTCCTGTCACATGGCTCATGGCTGTTACCTTTCCTTCTACAAATACTGCTTCCTCTACCTCTGGCTTGAGACTCTGATTTTCGATTCCCAGAGTTCTCTTTCTTCCTGGAAGTCCTCCATTTAACTTCACACAGTGTACAAATATCCCACAACATCTGTGTGTTTATTAGTCTGCTTCTCTGTCTCTCCAGTGTGTGTGTGTCTGTTATTGTTAATACCTTCATGCTATGGCACAAATGTGAAGGTCAGAGGACAGCTCATAGGAGTTGGTTCTTCTTTCTACCATGTAGATCCAAGGGTAAGATTCAGATTGTCAGGCACTTTTAACCATGCAGCCCTCTTGCTTGCCCTAAATCATATAATTTTAGAGGGCAAGTGAGTAGATGTTGACGGTTCAGTGGTTAAAGTCTCTTGCAGAGGACACAGATTCAATTACCAAGGCCCACACTGTGATTCACAGCTTCTTGTAACAACAGTAACAGGGGATTCAATGTATTCTTCTAGCCTCTACAAACACCTGCCCTCTTGTGATATGCATACATATACTCAGAGACATGGACACATTAAATAAATATTTCAATAAGTTATAGATTTAAATGATTCTATATAAACTATCTGAATTTTCTTTAACAATATAAAATAACTGTTTTATTGTTTATGAATGACTCAAGCTCTTATAGATAATGCTGTTGGTCCTGTCTCCAGATCTCAGAAGAAACGTTTTTTTCAGTTTGAGTCAGTTCTAGTTATGGTTCAACAAATTTCTCTTATATTCAACAACAAGAAGGGAATTTTCCTGTAAAAAAGAGAACCATGTCACGCAGAGTCCCAGAAATCCAACGGTTGGCTGATCACAATGACTGTAGTGACCTTACTATAGTTAGGACAAGGATTAAACTCCAGTTTCCTGAAACAGACAGGGTGCTCCCGTACCACTCATACAACACTTATGCAGGTCATATGAAGACCTGGACATTATCCTACACACAAGCAGAGGTGCGGACCAGATGATATCTCAGCCTCCTCATCCTTAAAGTTGGAAGTTGAGATGAGCAGGCCTGCCATTGAATCCAGGAGTCAATTCCAGACCTCTCCCTGTTACTAAGCCTTTTGGAGTAACCTAACCAGAACAGACTTCACAGTTGGGGAGACAGTGGTAGGTCTTAATGTGATGTCATCACAATGCCTCACTCTGGCTGTCTCAGAGTGTGGGTTCCTATCGGGTGACTTGAATCACTAGGAGTAGCTGTTAATATGATGAAATATTACTGATAATGTCAGAGGATTTAAAAGTTTTAAAATAACCAAAGTATGCATCATTCTGTTTTGGATTAATGAAGACAAAATACAAAGCCCAGGATGGTTTGTCAAGCACTTATAGTAGTCTTATGCACATAACATGGTACATTAAAAAATAAAAATCAGGATTCAGGTGAGCATACGTGGTGGGAAGAGTGCGCAGCATGTGTTGCAGGTGAACACATTTATTACCAAGTATAGAAAATAAAATATTTCAGCTAAGATTATGCTTAAGGAGGATAGAAAATATCAATGTACAGGCAGAGCAAAAAGCCAAATTTCCACTTAAAATGTATGGAGTCCTTAATAGACCTTGAGCATATATTAGTATAAAGAGTGATTTATTTTTGATATGATATTAGAACAGAATAAAAATACTATAACAATTTGGCATCAGTATTTTGTCAGATGAATCTTGGCACCTGTAGATAATAGAGTCTCTGGGAAAATGTAGATAAGATGAAATGCAAAGATAACTAGACTGAAAAATAGATGATAGGCAAATAGATAATTGACAGATGACAGACAGAGAGATATATGGATCCATGAAGAATTACAGAGTATTATCTCAATAAGTCCTTAAGTAAGATAGATATAAACTCTCTCACATTTCCTTGGCACTCACCATGCTCATATGGCTTGAACATTATTCCCAAAGTCTTAGCCAATCCTTTATTCCCAAAGGCCTTTCTTTTGTTTCATTCTGACTTTGGTTTATAATCTCCCTGTGTTTGTTCAGCTTTTAGAGAACATCACAGTGTGACTGTTTCTGCAATCATTTTCCCTATATTATATCTTAACTATTTTCACTGAAATCCTAAAATTGGGGGTGTTCAAACAGTTGAAGAGCAGAGAATGATGGGAATCAGGGGGGATGAAGAGAATAGAGGGGACTAAAAACAACAGTTCAAACATATCCAAAGAATTAGTAAGGACTTTGTCAGGGAGGGAAGTGTCTCTTTTTGTCCATTTTGCCTCACATGGAATAATAAGAATACAGTGTCTCAAGGGTTTTGTTATCTTCTCATATGTAGACATTATCCCCTCCATTTCATATGAACCCCCAAATCTCAAACCATACACTAACACAGAGAGCAAAGATGTGTGTTCTGTTTATTTTAATGATTACTTTATTACTTCATATCTTACTAATGAAACATCTCAACCCTACCAGAAAACAAAACAAAACGAAACAAAAACAGTCATTTGAAAGCAAACACTTGGGGAAGGGAGAAATGTCCAGTGGTTAAGAGCATACTGCACCTACTGAGGACCGGAGTTGGGATTCCAACATCCTAACAGGTTTTAACCCCAGATCCAGGGGATCTGGCAACCTCTTGAAGCTGCCACTGACACCTGCATGCATATACACATCTTCACACAGACACACACAATGCATAGAACTACATCTGTAAAAACACATGGCTGTTCTCCTTTCTGCAGCACACTTGCTAACTCTGGAGCAATGGAGGCAACACTACCTTGGCCCATGAGCAAGACAATACAAAATTCATAAATCACTCCACCTAAAAATGTAAAATCCACTGACAAATAAGGAAGCCCATTTTCTCCATAAGGAAATACTGCTTTTAATTTTTAGTAGTACATATTAATTTTACAGAATGGGCAATCTCATAGCATTTCCCTACACAGGACTATTTAGGAAATATCCACTCATCTTCAATTATTACTTTAATTTTGTGTGTGTGTCTGTGTGTATCTCTCTGGTGTAGAGTGAGTGTACATGTGTCTGGTGGGTGTACATCCTATGTATTGTGAGGAGATCAGAGGTTGCATCAGGAATATCTTTCCTAACTTCTTCATTTGAGACATGGTTTTTAACAGAACCCGAAGCCTCCTATTTCAGGCAAACTATCTTGAAATTTGTTAGAAATCTGTCATAATCCATTTTCTCCAGTAGGCCTGATTATTATTTTCTAATACTTCATTAACTTTAATAAAATTCAACTAATTTTCATTAATATTTTTAACAGTAAAATTAAAAAGGGAACTAGGAAGACCAAAAATATTTCATAACACAAACTTAGCTAGCCCCCTCCCAGTCTAGGTCCATCATTCTGCATTTTGCTCCTGTAGATGTCTAACTAGGTGATACAACCATACAGATTGGAAGAGTACAGATAGCTACATAAGTAGCCAGGCTTTGCTACTGTAGTCTCATGCCATAGGCAGTAAATGAGACAGGGAAATGAGCAGGTCCAAAGGTTGATACTCTTCAAGTGTGTGAAGTTTAGGATGCCAGGAATCTCTTTCCTCCTTACCTCATGCCTGAACTATAATTCAGGCTTGAGCACTCCTGAATCCATGGAGGAAAGCTAGTGAGGAATATCTGGTCATCACCAGTCACATGACCATGTGGGTGACATGAGGCAGGGCCATTTATGCCAAGGCACTGTCTCACAGGCTGAGGCAAAGTCCAGGATCGGAATAAAAGGATTCAGGGACAGAGAACTTCCATCCAGTCCTCCTGAGGTGGCCAGGGATCTTGTGCTGCCCGTCATCTTGGTAAGTCTTCATTGGGAGGCAAGAGCATGGCTTGTGCCAGAGGAAGGCTGAGAGAAGAGCTGTAGAAAACGCTAGGCAGGACCACGGATCCTGGAGGCCATTTTAATAGAGGACTTAGGGTAGGCCAGAATGATGGGTAGTAGAGAAGGGTACATGCATGAGGTCCATGAGCAGTCAGGCTGCACATAACAAAGGGCTCCACAGAGTAACAGCTTCTTTTTAGAGTGAGTCTGTCATAACAGGACCCTGAAACACAGGTTAAGCACCTTAAACAAATTCCAAAGTGTTGCCCTGAAGCAGTTTTGGGCTAGCATTCAAGGACAAGATGGAGGTAGAGTAGGGTAGCAGGTGCTCCTTTTTAACTTGGAAAACCCACAAAGTTGAAGGTCTGGGATTATTCACATGCTTTCAAGAATGACTAGAATACACCAGCCCCACCATGGAGGTACCATCCTGTTGACATGACCTGAGCAGGTGGTGAATTGAGCATATGAGAAAGCTTGTCAGGGAACAGGGACAGGAATTCCTGGTCCTAGTCTGCAGGAAATGATGAGGTTTTCAGACTTCCCATTGAGGGAATCTGTTTACTGATCCAATACTAACTTGGGTTCTTTGCAGTAGTGCCTTGTATAATAAAATAATCTTTCAAGTTATGAGAGAGAAAGAGTGCTCTTTTTTTTTGTTTTGTTTTCGTTTTTCAAAACAGGGTTTCTCTGCATTGTTTTGGAGGCTGTCCTGGAACTCTCTCTGTAGACCAGGCTGGCCTCGAACTCAGAGATCCGCCTGCCTCTGCCTCCCGAGTGTAGGGATTAAAGGTGAGCGCCACCAATGCCCGGCGTGAGCGCTCTTTGTTTTAAGACACATTTTTCTTAGAAATGATGTATTAATTGGGTGATTTCAGTTTGAAGATATGTTTGGAATGGTCCCCATTGCCACATTTAAGTTTGTGATTCAGAGCCTTTTGTCATTCCATGCTGGACAGCAGATGCCAGTACTTACCTGACTGGCTTGGGTTTCTGATGTTCCCAAGACATGATGAGGAGGATGTGAGTGGATGAGTAGCTTAGAATTGAAATCACTAAAGATGTTTTTTCTATGATGAGGAGGATGTGAGAGGATGAGTAGCTTAGAATTGAAATCACTAAAGATGGTTTTTCTGATTACCATGGATGCTAAGGATGAAGGATGGGCAGGGTGACTGCAACAGTCTGGCACTGACTTTTCTTTGAATATTCCACAGTACCCCAGCACTCATCAGCTGAGATGTCCTGCCAGCAGAGCCAGCAGCAATGCCAGCCCCCTCCCAAGTGTGCCCCCAAGTGCCCTCCCAAGTGCCAGACACCAAAGTGTCCTCCTAAGTGCCCTCCTAAGTGCCCCCCTGTGTCATCCTGCTGCAGCCTAGGGTCTGGTGGCTGTGGCTCCAGCTCTGGTGGCTGCTGTGGCTCCAGCTCCGGAGGTTGCTGCAGCTCTGGGGGTGGCGGCTGCTGCCTGAGCCACCACAGGCCCCGCAGATCTCTTCGTCGCCATCGTCATAGCTCTGGATGCTGTAGCAGTGGTGGCGGCAGTGGGTGCTGTGGTAGCAGTGGTGGCAGCAGTGGGTGCTGTGGTAGCAGTGGTGGCAGCAGTGGCTGCTGTGGCAGCAGCGGGGGCAGCAGCTGTGGCAGTAGCCAACAGTCTGGGGGCTGCTGCTGACCCATTCCATTCTGTTCTCAAGCATGCGGCGCAGCAGGAAGCCATGTCCAGAACGCCAGTCCACAACTGCTACTCTCCTCTCCTCTGTCTCCCTGGTCCTTGGTTGTAAGATATTGAAAATCTGTATCAAATTCTGAATTTGCTCCAATGATTCAATGCCTTCTTCAGTATTTTGTGATAATAAAGTGTTCCTTATTGGTTCTACCAAAACTCTTGTTTGTCTTGGCCAAAATAACCCTCACACATTAGTTTTAACATCTGTGGCTCAGTGGTGCCTTGAATTGAAGTCTGTATCAGTAGTGTGATGTAATCAGTAATAAGGGTCACTCTATAGGGTCCAGGTAGTAAAGCATCTGTCATCTATTACTGTGCACACATGAGGGCAATCCAACAGTCATGCTCTGTTTAGGCTACTTTCCTTTTTCCTTTTATGGATATGGGTTTTCTCTGGTATCCCTAATTATCTTCTGTGCTTTAAAAGTATCTGCATTGGTACTCTACCACTTCACATGAAGTGAGAACAGATCAAAACCAGCTGCTCTTCATCTTGTGAAAGGTTAGATAAGCCAAGTGCCCATTATGCAACCAGGAAAGGACTTAAATATAACAGTGAAGACAAAAATACTCCTAGAAGAACACATTTTGTCAAAACTTTGAAATACTGGACTTTTCAGCAACTTATATGTAATGAATCTATGGTAACAACAACGAAAGTAGATTTCATGAACTAAAATAATGCTAAATTCTTCTATGGATGGCTGAACATAGCACACACAAAAAAATTACAGCCTTTGGCATAAGCACATGTCAGTCATATCTCACAAGGCAATTATCCAGAGTGTGTAATAAATTCCTTCAGCTCACTAAGATATAAGCAAACAACCTGATTTAAAACTTTGAAGAGACTCACATGTACATTTATCCCAAAAAAGACATGGGTAAAGTTTCACAGTATGATTATTAGACAAATAAAATCCACAATGAGATAGATATAACCTCTAAACCAAGAGTGTGGTCACGTTGAACACAACATGGTGTGACTGCTCATTAGGACTATGTAGAGAAATTGGTATCACTGTGCACTCTTTGGAATGCAAATGTCTATGAAAAATACATTTCCCTCAAACTTTTAACAGCATTAACTATGAACTAACAAGTTCACATCTCCACTCTATTGTCTGTCTGTCCATCTACATATCTACATATGCATTTGTGTGTGGATCTCTGTGTACATTTACAGAACATATGCCTGAGAACAGAACCTTAAAGAACTTTTTCTATACCAAGTTCACAGAAGCACTAGTTACAATAGCTGAAAGATGAAGGCCATTCAAAAGTACATTAATTAATAACTGTCTTTAAAATATTGTACTAGCATATTAAAGAATATTATATAACCTTCAGAATGCCAAGTATAATAGCTCCTACAATCATAGTCAGGAGGATCACTGATGGTGGATGTCATTCATATATGTTTCTATTATTGGTTGATGAATAACACACTGTTTGGCCAATAGCCAGGCAGGAAGGCTATAAGAGGAAGAAGTGAGGAGAGAGAGGGAGGCAGAAGAGAGACACCATGTGGCCACCAAAGAAATGGTCCAGGTATTCTCCAGTAAGCCAAGACGACATGAAAATACATAGATTAATAGTTATGGTTTAATAATTAAGAGAGAGCTAGCCAGTAAGAAGCCCTAGATATTGGCCAATAGTTTATAAATTAGTACTGCGTCCATATGCTTATTTGGGGCTAAAGGGCGGGGCAGAAACTTTCATCAACAGATCACAAGTTCAAGGACACCCTCTTTTCTACCAGCCTTGTCTATGTGAATGAAACATTTTCTCAAAAGAAATTAATTATAGAAATATGTGTACATGCTACAATATGGATGAAATGTAAAGGGAGGATACAAATTAAAATAGGTATTAGAAAAGGACAAACACTGTATCATTCTTCTGTTGGAAACTGAAATTAGTCAGATTTATAAGGGCAAGAAAAGAAATGCTGATTTACAGAGGCCAGGGAGAGGGCCCGTAGTGACGTACTGATGAAGGAGTGTATTGTTTCAGTTTTTCAAGATGATAAAACACTTAGGAGGAACAATGCATCTTATTTATGTATGTAACTAAAAACTAAATAAAGAAAAATACTTTAAATGATGCATCTCAAAAAGATTGTTTTACTGAGTTTCACAATTAAAACTGCATAAGTTATCAAAGTTTATGTGACATTTTACCAATTAGTCTAGAAACATGATAACTGTACCAACTAAGAAATGATAAGATTTTAGCATGCTTTCATCACACATGCCAACAAAGTATTAAAATTTTTGCCTTGACACAGAAATCAAATAATATAAACTTTAAATGCTACTGAAGATAATCATTAAACAGTGTACTTTTGCATTTCAGCTATTATTTTTTTTAAATTTGTTTAAAGTAAAAACAATCTTATTTTACATACCAATCCCAGTTCCCTCTCCTTCCCATCCTCCAATTCCCCTCATCCTCCTCCTATCTCATCCCCATCCACTCCTCAGGAAAAGGTTTTCCATGGGGATCATTAAAGTGTGTCACATAATTTGGGGCAACTTAGTCCCTCTCCTGCCCCCATGTGTCTAGACTAAGAGAATATCCCTCCACAGGGAATGCACTCTCAAAATCCATTTGTTCACTAGGGATAAAAACTGGTTCCATTGCTAGAGACCCCATAGACTTCCAAGGCTCCCCAAGGCTTCCTCTACATTCAGGGTGCCTGGTTTGATCTTGTGCTGGTTCCCCAGCTGTCAGACTGGAGTCTGTGAGCTGCTACTTGCTCAGGTCAGCTGTTTCTGTGGGGTTTCCCACCATGGTCTTGACCTCTTTGCTTATCACTCCTCTCTCTCTGCAAGAGGATTCCAGGAGTTTGGCTCAGTGCTTAGCTGTCGACCTTGGCTTTTGCTTTCATTGGCTACTGGATGAAGGCTCTAAGATGGCATTTAAGGTAGTCACCAATCTCATTATAGGGAAGGGCATTTAAGGTAGCCTCTCCACTATTGCTTAGATTCTTAGTTGGGGTCATCCTTGTGGATTCCTGGTGATTTCTCTAGTGCCAGGTTTCTCATTAAGCCCATAACAGCTCCCTCTATTAGGATATGGAAAGAGTCTCTGTCTTCAATGCATATGTTCTATACATGTACACAGAGATCCATAAAGAAATACACATGTAGATGGACAGACAGACACGAGAGCAGAGGTGTGAACTTGTTGGTTCATATTTAATTCTGGTAAGTTTTTGAGGGAAAGGTATTTTTCATAGTCATCTGCATTCCAAACTGCACAGAGATACCAATTCCTCTGTGTAGTCCTAATGAGCTGTTTTGATTGTTTATTGGTGAAAAGAGGGAAACAAAAGAAAACTTATTTATTGGTGGTGGCTCTGAAACTCATAGAAAAACCACTTTTTTCAGATTGCATCACTTCTGGTTAGAGCTCATCAGCATTTCTTATACCCTGTGGAATGGAGAAATAGAGACAACTTGACAAATGAAACACTGGAAAACCAGTGGTATCCTATCCATGTAGTTATATTGACCTGATACCTAAGCTACAGAGTCCATGGTCAAGCCTTAAATTCCAATCTTCCTGAGGTAGGAGTGCCAGTCATACATCCCATAATCATACAGGCCAACTGAGGACTTGGGTATGTTCATGCAGAGAGACAGAGGTGTGGACCAGTTGGCATCTCAGCCTTGCCATACTAGAAGGTGGGATCTGGATTTTGTGGAAATCAGGAAGCAATCCTTAACCTCTCTCTGTTACTAAACCCTTTGGAGCAAACTGACCAGGAAAACAGATGTCAGTATTGGTGAGACAGTAGCAGATCTTCAGGTGATGTGACATCACATTTCATTCTCTGCCAGTCTCAGGATGTACATTTCTATGCAGTGACGTAAGTCATAGGAGTTGCCATTTATAACTTGAAACATCACTGATAAATCTTGTAGCATAGTTCAAAAGATTTTTAAATAGTCAATATGTATATCATTCTGGGTTTTTTTAAAGATTTTTTAAATGTATATATGTGTGAGTGCCTGTGTTAATGTATCTGTTCTATATTCATGCAATGTGTACCATGGATATCAGAAGAGAGTGTTGGATCCCTGAAGTTATATGCTCCGATGGGCCATCCAATATGGGTGTTGAAAGCCAAATCCAGGCCTTGTGCAAGAGCAGAAATTGCCCTTAAACACTGAGCCATCTCTCTAGTCCCAAGCATCCCATTTTAATTAATGAACATAAAAGTATAAAATTTTAGTAAAGCTGTTAAAGAGTTCATTATAATCTCATGTGCATGGCCTAGCATATAACTGATATCAAAATACAAAAGAGAATGAGTAGTACTTTCAGAATGAGCAAAGGCATTGCATTACAATGAGAAGCAGAAATATAACTACAGAAAATAATGTGGATCAGGCCCAAACAACTGAAAGATAGATGGAAAAAAATAAGCAAATAGAGGTTGAGCAGAAGGCATGATTCACACTAGATTTGGAATTTTTTTTCACCGAGGCAGTTTTCTTAGTCTGCATTCCATTGTTTTGATAAAATGATGACCATAATCAACTTGGGAAAGAAACAGGCTTATTTGGCTTATACATTCTGGATCACAGTACCTTTGGGGAAGCCAAGTTAAGAACTGAAGCAGAAACCATGGAGAAATGCTGCTTACTGGCTTCCTTCTCCTGGCTTACTCAGCCTGCTTTTTATATACTCCATGACCACCTGCCCAGTGGCGGTGCTGTTTATGTGAGTGGGACCTTACCACACTAATTAATCATCAATTAAGAAAAGCCCCACAGGCTTATCTACAGGCCGGTCCTATGGAAACACAATTTTCAGTCGAGATTCCCTCTTTTCAGATGACTTGAGCTTGTGTCAGCTGACAAAAACAATTTAGTCATCACAGCAGGGAGCAGTCCTTGGAAAGACTTCACTAGTAGCTGAGTGTCAACTATTTGGGTGTGATGCTAACAAATGAATCGAGGAATGATCACATGGTTACATGTCTGCCTAAGCTATTCGTATTATGACACAATGATGTCTTCTACAAAATTCATGACAACAACCACAAAGTCAAGTTAAGAAAATGATCACTGAAACCACAATAATGTTTTAGTTGTTCGTGGATTCGTGTTGGTCTTCTTTCACAGCTATCCTTGGATGCGCTTGGAACTTGAGAAAGTGATTTTCAGAGGGATCTGGGTATCAGAGCACATGTAAATGGTGAAGGCTCAGAGAAAAAGTGGGAGAGGTAATAGATGATGGATAGACAGAGAGATGATGGATAGATGATAGATAGATAGATAGATAGATAGATAGATAGATAGATAGATAATGGATAGATGATAGATAGCTTAGATGACATGATCAACAGACAGAATAAGTTGTGATAAGCAACAGACATGTATCTTTCTAGATATGTAGGCATTACATCTATTTATAAGTAAGTGCATGTTTTAGCCACGTTCCAGTTAGTCTAGCATGCCCATCTGAGGGAGAAATTAGTCACAAAGGCTTCTCAGTGAATGGTCCATCAATGGCTAGGGAGAAAACAAATTTCCCCTCACACGATTCAACTTGGCCTTGGTTTGTAGATACTCATTTAGTTCCTTTTGTTTGCTTGCTTGCTTTTAAATTAAACCTCAAAGTCATGTCTGTCTTTGCAAAAAAATTGTCTTACAAAGAATTTAAACACTTTTCATTAAAAGAATAATATATATCAGTTCAGAACACCATTTTGTATAAAGTTTGTGGCCTTAAGGGACGAAGGAAACATTGAAAAGGGAGCCGCTTTGAAAATAACAGCACAAGCCTAATCCTGGGAAGTATTTAGGACATGTGATCTTAAAAATCACCTGGTTGCCCCTGATAAAGTCCCCATTACCTATGTTATCAACATGGGGAAGCAGATGTCAACAGCCCAAGACCTCTCTCCTTTCTGCATTTCTCAACTCTGGTCATCATGTTCTTCACTCGCAGTCTCCAGAAATCCAATGTTCCACAAGAATATGAAGATGAAGTTTCGACTCTGCTCCTTCCAACAGTCCCATCCTGCTTCAACCTTACAATTACTCCAGCTGAGTTCCCATGAGAAAAAAAACAGCAGGGAGGCTATTTCAAATCAGATTTTAAAAGAAAACCAACTAGCAGATTCACTAACTTTAGAAAGAGCTGCACTTCACTTCTTTGTATTCTCTGTATAAATTAATTATACAAGATAGTTGGCTTCACTGTGAACCTTTTACATGGGCATGAAATATGTCAATTGTATCTACCACTGATAAATCGTTATTTTAAACAACTAAATTTTCCCCCTATACAGGTCATTTGTCAGAGAGCTACCATGCACAAATCTTCCCATCAGCCAGTTTTCATTTTATTTTTTTTCATATTCTCCACTTTTAGTGATTCTCTGTGGCTTTCACAAGTCCTTTACAAATAATTCTCATTGATATTCCAATATTACAGGTAAAGAGGGAAAATGAGACATGATAAATACATTTTTTTCCAGTTTAAATTTAGATAAGAAACAAGGTTGCTTCACAAGTCAGTTCCAGGTCCCTCTCCCTTTCCCTCCCCTCCTCCCATGCCCCCCCCAACCCCCCCCGTTATCCCCTCATTCCCCCAGGGAGGGTGAGGCCCTCCATGGGGGTGTCCATAGTCTGTCATTTCATATAGGGCAGGGCCTAGACCCTTCCCCAAGAGTTCAGGGTGAGAGTGCACCTCACATTGTTCTATGGGAGTCCAAAGTCCATGTGTATACTTGGGATGGGTACTGATCTGCTGCCCAAGGCTCAATAGATTACCTAGGCCTCCTCACTAACACCCAGATTCAGGGGGTCTTGATCAGTCCCATGCTGGATTCCCAGGCTGATGCCTGGGATTCGAGAGTTAACCTTTGTCTGGTCAGCTGTTTCTGGGGGTTAAACCAGCCCAGTCTTAATCTCTTTGATCATCAGTCCTCCCTCTCATTTTAAAATCCCATTTTAACATTTATTGTGCTGAGCTGGATCCAGTGACTAGGATTTTGGCTGTTTAGGTGTCTACACTATGTGACATAGCCACATAGAATGGCAGTATGCAGGGATGGAAAATAGCCTGAGATACTCTTACAGCAGGAATACTTGAGGTGCAAGATAAAGGATGACAGGAATCTACTTCCTAGCCTCATGCTTAGGTCATAGTCCAAGCTGAATGTAGCATCCACGAGCCCCATGGAGGAAGGCAGGTGAGAATCACTGGATCATTGCAAGTCATTTGACCACGTGGGTGTTAGGAGGCAGGGCCACCATGCCCAGCCACTGTCTCACTGCTGGGGCAGAGCCCAGAGTCAGAATAAAAGGGCTGAGAGGCAGAGCATCTCCATTCACTCACCTCCAGAGTTGCCCAAGGATCTTTTTGCTGCCTGTCACCTTGGTAAGTCTTCATGGGGGGCAAGAGCATGGACCTATCAGAGGGAAGCTGAGAGGAGAACTGGAGAAGAGGCCCAGAAAACACACTGACAGCATAGAAGGGAGGAAGGGACCAAAGCTGGGAGGAAGGAGGTGGACTAAGAAGTAAATCGGTGGCTTTGACTTCTGATTGTGGAGAGGATAATGTGTCCTCAATGGAGCTGTCCATTATGACAGGAACCTAAGGGCAGTGGACCTTGTCAGGCTTTGCTGGGAGAGCTCCCCTCTGCTAACACAGCCTCGAGACAGCCTGCAAAGAAAGACAAAAAATGAGGAGAGGGCACCAAGCAATCTTTTGGCTTAGAAAACACGCAGAGCTGTGGATCTGGAATTTTATCACATGCTGCTCAGAATTTTTAAGATACAGCAACACAAGACTTGCCATGTCAACCAGTTCATAAGAGGTGTTGAGATGAGTTCAAAATTTCTTGAAATGAAGAACCAGACCTGGTTCACTTCTGCAGGAATGGATAAGCTAGATTTTTTTATTAAAGGGCATAAGATCACTGATCAGTAATTGCTATTTTCCTCTCTGACATCATTATCATCATCTTGGGCTGCTTAGGGGACTGATGGAATCTCGTAAGAATCTCCATATGACATACAATAGTACTAGATGAAGACCAATTACATTGTAAAAGATGTCAGAGAAATGTAAGTGGAGGAGGAAGTTATTCTGAATATGATGTGAAATATCTCAAATTAAAGGTTACAGTAAAAACAAGTTTTAAAATGAATAAGTGCCTCTTCTCTCTTGTCAAAACTTGCAAGATAATTTGCCTCTGTGGGCCAGTACTGTAAGGGCCTTGGAATTTGTTAGAAATAAAACTACTGAATACGGAGTTTCTATGAATAACAGTGATACTTAGAGGTGGATAGGATACACTAAGATTCTGGGTCTGATTTGTGTGTTACTTTTCCACAGCTCCTGAGCACTCACCAGCTGAGATGTCCTGCCAGCAGAGCCAGCAACAGTGCCAGCCCCCTCCCAAGTGTGCTCCCAAGTGCCCTCCCAAGTGCCAGACACCTAAATGCCCCCCTAAATGCCCCCCTAAGTGCCCCCCTAAGTGCCCCCCTGTGTCATCCTGCTGCAGCCTGGGGTCTGGTGGCTGTGGCTCCAGCTCTGGTGGCTGCTGTGGCTCCAGCTCCGGGGGCTGCTGCAGCTCTGGGGGTGGCGGCTGCTGCCTGAGCCACCACAGGCCCCGCAGATCTCTTCGTCGCCATCGTCACAGCTCTGGATGCTGTAGCAGTGGTGGCAGCAGTGGTTGCTGTGGCAGCAGTGGTGGCAGCAGTGGCTGCTGTGGCAGCAGCGGGGGCAGCATTGGCTGCTGTGGCAGCAGCGGGGGCAGCAGCGGCTGCTGTGGCAGCAGCGGTGGCAGCAGTCAGCAGTCTGGAGGCTGCTGCTGACCTGAGCCGTTAATATTTAGACAAGCCCTGCAGGAGAAAGCCATGTTCAGAGTCCTGACCCTTACTTTTGTTATTCTCTGCTCCTGCTGCCCTCAGTGCCCTGGGCTTCGAGATGTAGTCTTATGGGAAATTCTGAATGTTCCCCTCTGTTAAAGGGCCTGTCTTCTGTTTCAGCGTAATAAACTCTTCCATTACAATCTTCTAAAGACTCTTCATCATTTGGCAAACATCTTACAGATCAGCTGAGTCAATAAAGGCTCAGTTGTTCCAAAGATGATTCAGAAGCCTGAATCTGTGTGGAACAGGAATAGGACGGCTCACAGGGTGTGGACAGTGGTTCCTCAACTGCCCTTACTACACACATTAATGATCATCTATCTCACATGCTGTCCATTGATATTATTGTCATCTTATGGGTACATATCTGTTTTTTTCTGGCTTTCTATCTTTTACTCTCTTGTGTTAATAATTACTATGTTAGCATTTCTAACAGACGGTGTAATGTGAGAGCTCAGCAACACCTAGAACATGTCACTTTTTTGGATATTGCTATCAAGCTGTATGTCCATTAAATGGAAGATGTGTGGCTACTTATTCTGTCAATAAGCTATGATTTGATTCTAACCTTTCTACTTAGTGAGAATTAGCTAGAAGAATCACAGGACACATATTTTAGAACAATCATAAACTTCATCAAAGAATTCAAGGAGTTTAAAAATCACAAAGATGAAGTTCAATTAATTTCAACCAAATAAATGCCTGAGTGATGCTCAAAGAAATAGAAACACAGAGCTGATGCAAACAACAAAGACGATCTAGTATTTGAAAATTGAATTCAAAACAGAGATTGAGACATTGAAGAGAACTCAAGCTGAAATGAAGACAGCATTGAAAAAGCTAATAACCCCACCAGAAACTCAAGGAAAAGCATGATGAGTAGAAGGAATCAAGCAGAAGGCAGAGTATCACGATTCAAAGACAAAATAGAAAATCTAGATCAGCAGTTCTCAAACTGTGGGTCACAAGTCCATTGGCAAACCTCCATCTCCAAAACTATTTGCATTACAATTTGTAACAGCAAAATCACAGTTATGGAGTAGCAGTGAAATAATCTTATGGTTGGGGATCATCACAACTAGATTGAAGGGTTGTAATATTAGAAAGGTTGAGAACCATTGATCTACATAAAATAAACAAAGAATAGTAAATAATCTAGATGCAATAAGCGAAGAATATTAAATGATTTTTAAACCACTGGGGGAAAAACTTGTAGGAAATGTAGGGCACAATGAAAAGAGCAACCATTCTAATTATAGGAAAAGATGAGAGAGAAGAATTTCAGGTCAGTGGCATAGACAGATCTTCAATAAGATCATGGGAGAATAACTTATCTGAACTAGGGAACAACACACCCCTTTGGGGATACAAGAAGCACACATAGAACTCCAAATATACAAGAGTAGAAAAAAATCCCCGTGGTATTTCATAGCTAAAAACTAAGTATGCAGAGCAAAAAAGTATATGGAAAACTGAAAGACAACAACAACAACAAACAAACAAACCCTTTGGTCACATACAAGGATAAAACCTATCAGAATGGTTTCTCAATGTAAACTTTGAAAGTCCAAGAACCTAGAGCATTGCATTCCAAGTACTGAAAGCCCACAACTGCAAACCTAAACTGATGTACTTAGTGACACTACCCACTCTAATTGATAAAGTCTAAAATCTCCTGTATTTGGGAACTAGAGATGGCTCAGTGGTTAAGAGCATGTTATTCCTCCAGAGGATCCAAGTTTGATTCTCAGCAGCCACATCAGTTGGCTAATAACCATCCTTAACTCCAGTTCCAGGAAAATCAGGCTCCTCTGGCCTCTGTGCTCACCCATACTCATGTGAGCATGTGTTTCATTAAAATATAAAGAAAATATAGGAAAAATGTTTCAGAATGAAAAGAGGAATGATCATAGTCAATGGACTGTGAACCAAAATATGAAGCCATAATTACTAAAAGACAGAGTATTATTGAGAACAGAAGAAAAAGCAACAGAACAACCAACACAGTGACAATTAACATATACATTTCTTTTCCCCTTTTATTAAACATAGGTTACTTTCACATATAATATGAGTATAGCTCCTCCTCCCTGTATTCATGCAGTTCTTCACCACTTCCTCTCCCATCCGGATCCATGCCCTTTCTGTCTCTCATTAGAAAAGAGATAATATACAAAAATAAAATCTAATAAGAGAAAAGAAAATCCATCATATAGAAGTTGGGCAAGACAAGCCTACGGGAAAATAAAAGAGCCACAAGAAAAGGCACAAGATTTAGAGACACACTTATTTACACATTCAGGAGTCCCATGAATATACTAACCTGAAAGCTACACTTTACTTGCAGAGCACCTCGTGAAGATCTGTGTAGATACTGTGAGTGCTGACTCAGTCTCTGTGAGCTCATATGCTTTGTAGAGTTGTTTTAGAAGGCCACGTTCTGGTGCCCTCTGTCCTCTCTGTCTCCCCAATTGTTTCTTCCCCCTCTTCCACAGAGTTTTCTGAGACACAGGGGAAGGTTTTGATGGAGATATCCTATTTAGAGGTCTGAACACACACATAATAACTTTAAATATTAATAGCATCAACTTTCCAATCACAAGATACAGACTCAATGAATGGATCAAGAAAAAAAATTTCATTCATCAACAAAAACATATCTTAGCTTTAAAGATAGAAGAAGTAGTTTTGATGTGTATTTCCCCAGTGGCTGAGAATTTTGAAAATTTCTTTAAGTATTTCTTAGTCATTTGAGTTTCCTCTATTGAGAATTATCTATTTAGATATGCGCTCCAGTTTTATTGTGTTATTTGTTTTCTTGATATCTAGTTTCTTGAGTTCTTTATATATTTTGGATATTAGCAATCCTCTATAAGATGTGTAGTTGGTAAAAATATTTTACCATTCTATGTGCTGCCACTTTTTCTGAATGATGGTGTCCTTTGTCATACAGAAGATTCTCAATTTCATGAGATCCCTATAGTAATTGTTGATCTTACTCCCTGCTCTAGGGGTGTTCTCTTCAGAAAATCTTTTTTCCTCTGTCAGTATCAAAATATCTAGTTTTATGTTGGAGTTCAGTTTTGTGCAGGGTATGAATCTCTTCCAATTCTTTTAGATGCAGCCATTCAGTTTGACCAGTACCAATTTTTGAAGATGCTCTTTTTATTTCAGTGTGTATTTCTGGCATTCTTAAAATCAAAAATCAGGTGTCTACAAGTGTCATTGTTGTTCTTTTTTCTCTTTGGGGGGCATCTCCCAAATAAATACGTGGAGACTTATTCTATGAATGCCTCATCTTAGCTTGGCTTGCTTCTAGCCAGCTTTTCTAACTTAAATTAACCAGTTTCTTATCTTGTACATTTTGCCTCTAGGCATTTTGCCTTTCTTTATTCTATGAGTCTTTCTTGCCTTGTTATTTCGTGGCTGGATGTGTGGCTGGTTCCTGGTGTCTTCCTCTTCTCTTTCTCTCTCGTTCTCTCTCTCTCTCTCCTCTCTCTCTCTCTCTCTCTCTCTCTCTCTCTCTCTCTCTCTCTCTCTCTCTCTCTCTCTCTCTCTCTCTCTCTCTCTCTCTCTCTCTCCAGGCAGGGTTTCTCTGTGGCTTTGGAGGTTGTCCTGGAACTAGCTCTTGTAGACTAGGCTGGTCTCAAACTCACAGAGACCCACCTGCCTCTGCCTCCCAAGTGCTGGGACTAAAGGTATGTGCCACCAATGCCTGGTTCCTTTTCTCCTTTCCTCACCCCTCCTTCATCTCTTCTTTTGAATATAGATTTTTTTCCTCTTTATTCTCTCTGCATGGCGTCCCTGCCTTACTTCTCACTCCTGCTTAGCTATTGCCTAGGTCCTCCAGCAGGTAGAGAGGGGGAAGGGCTGAGCAGGATGGTGTGTGTGTCAACAACTCAAACACTCCCCCCTGCTAGTTACCAGGGGAAAAATACGCACTGAGCCAGGAGACTGTCGAAGCAGAATCTCAATTTATTTTAACAGGTATGAACTTATATACCTGAGGGCTGAAGCAGGGAATGGGAATCATAAGATAGGGTAAGGCCATGAGGAGTAAGGGCCAATAATATTCCATCAACCTGGCAGGTAGGTAGGCAGGAGGCAATCTTATACCAGGTCTGACTGAGTCACCCTCATGTGGAGGTTACAGGTCAGAGACAGGTCGTCAAACTCCAGCCACTGGGAGTTTACACTGGGCCTCACATCCGAGCCATTTTTAGGTCCAACAATTCAGCTCTATTAGACCAATCAGTTGTTTTAGACAGGCAAAGCAACACAGCTTTACAGAGTTAAACAAATGCAGTATAAAAGAATGCAACACATCTTTGAAGCAATAAACAAATATTCCACAGCATAAACAAATGTAAGAAATTTTAAACTAATATTCCACAACACACAAGTGTGTGTATTTATGTCTGGGTCCTCAGTTCAATTGCATTGATAACGTGTCTGTTTTTTGTGCCAGTACTATGCTGTTTTACTACTATAGCTCTGTGGTACAATTTGAAATCAGGGATGACAATACCACCCTTTTTCTTTTATTGTTCAGGATTGTTTTAGCCATCCTATGTTTGTGTGTGTGTGTGTGTGTGTGTGTGTGTGTGTGTGTGTGTGTGTGTGCGTCCACATTAAGATTTCCTTTTAAGTTATGTGAAGAACTGTGTTGGAATTTTGATGGGGATTTCATTGAATCTTTAGACTGATTTTGGTAGGATGGCCATTTTTATCATGTTAATCCTACAGGTCCATGAGCATGGGAGATATTTGTATCTTTTGATATCTTTTTCAGTGACTAGAAGATTCTATCATACAAATCTTTTACTATGTAGTAAAAGATACCCTAATATTTTATATTATTTGAAGTTGATATTTAAGGTGTCGTTTCCCTGAATTCTTTCTCAGACCATTTGTCAATTGGAGGGCTACTGATTTTGTGACTTAATTTTTGTATACAGCTACTTTGATGAAAGTATATGTAAGCTAATACTTCCTAATGGAATTTTGGGGACTCTTATCTATATTATCACACCATCTGCAAATGAAGATATTTTGACTTCCTTTTAAATTTGCATTCCTTTGAAGACTTTCAGCTTTCTTATTGATTTAGCTAAGATTTCAAGTACTATATTAAATAGAT